TCTTTCCCTTGCATCTACTTCTTTCATTTACTTCTATTCTTTCTCCCTTATCTCCATTGTACTTTTTCTACCCCCTTTCCCTCAACGCATACATACACTCAGTTTTTCTTCCCAGCCTCCTCCACTTTCCATTGTTCTCCGAAGTCTGGGAAGTGCTTGCCCGGTTGCTGTCTGACCTTGGCAGGGGGCAGCCTTGCGGGCAGGCCTAGATCGGTGTCGCCACCTCGGAGCTCCTGCCAGTGACTGGAACTGTGGGGCCCCTAGTTGGGGATGAGAGGCGCCAGGGCCCTTCTCCCTGAAGTGAAGTCAGACAGGCCCCTCCTGGCTGTAGAGGGAAATCTTTTGGACAAAATGAAGGAGGGGTCCCGGAGCTACAAGAACCAGAGAGTGAAGGCCTGGCTGGTCAGGGGGAGGCCACTATCGCCTTCGGGCTCTCCCCATCTGGGCAGCCCTGCACCATCCTTGGGATTAGGTCTCTCTCAGGATAAATCCCTGGGCTTCTGAGGCTGAGATCTGAGGGAGCCGGCTGTGACGTTAGAACTGACCAACCGTGGACTCTATCATGGCACAAGTCCACCAACTGTGAGTGGGGTCCTGATCAGGGGGAGGGAGTGGGGAAGCGGAGACAACACTGAGGGTCACTGAACAGGGACCAAGGCCCCTGGTCTCTGGTCTTGCCGCTCTGGGCTCCTTACATGCCACGTGTGTAGCTGGCAGAGTTGGAAGGCCCACGGACCCGAGTCCCCTGGCTCTTCTTCTGACCCTGGCCTTTGCTGGGGAGGCCTGGACTGTGCCCCAACCATTAGGAATTCTGAGCCTAGAGGGCTGCCCTGTAGAGCCCAAGTCTTAGGCAAGGTTTTGTTCAGCTCAGTGTGATGAGCAAAGTATTTCTCCTCTCTGGGCCTCCGTTTTCCTATCTGCTCTGGGCCAGCTGCTCTTTAAGTCCTCCTCTGTACTCACTTTGGGCAGAACAGAGGCAAGCAGGCAGAGGCAGGGATGTTACTAGAGGTTGAGGGTGTCAGAGTGGAGGAAGACTGCAGAAGGAGCCGCAAAGAGGCCACTGAGCTCACCATTGAGTATTCCACGTAGACCTAGGGTGTGGGCATGGTTATTAGGGCCTTGAGGGAGCCCAGGCCCTTGGCCTGGCATCTGGGAGGCAACCGTCATGGGCTGGCTCCGTTGGTCAGTGCCAAGGCATGAACTCCAAAGTACCCATTAAAGAGGTCCATTCTCCATAATTCCATGAGGAACCTTCCAGCACTGCCCCCACCCACCCATATAAACTTGGAAATGGAGTAACAGGGGTGGGTTTCTTAAATGGAACCCATAACCAAGGTCTTTGGTGTTTGTAGCAGCTTCCAGGGTCCTGGGAGACTCAGCTTCCTTTCTTCCAGCCCCTGAGATCCTGGCTGGCACTCAGAAATGAGGAATATATGAAAAAAACTACAAGTTCAAGAAAGCAATTAAAGTTGCTTACAACGCCCC